GAACTTCATTGTCTGAAAACCGCTGACAGTTGATAGCTCAATGACACTTAGAGCCGTGCATAAGGAGGCGTGAAAACACTCCTCATCTCGTTCTATTACGAGAGGACCATGTCATGGCGTGAGAAAGGTGTTCTCAAAATAAATGACACTGTATGAGTGAATAAATATTCCGCGCCCCCTTGGGCTATTGGCGGACCCTACCACCTGATCGGGTGGTGCAGCCGTTTCGCCCTCCACCTGAGATCTCGGAAAGTTACCGACCGATTTTAAACATTCAAAGAGCATTCGATAGCCCCACCAGGGAACTACCTTGTTACCAGGTTTCGTTGACCTAGGTGCAACCCATGACGTCACAAGTCAGGTCAAAGGTCGCATTTTTTCACCGATTTAGTCTAAGGAATGCGTTACAGTCAGTTAACACATCAAATAAAAGGCATGTTATCGAAAAACATCGATGAAGCGTTGGTTGTCTAATACATATGTTGCCTAAAGAGGTCATTGATGCCAGGTCAGTTCACAGAGGTCAGGTCACTAAAAGGGTCACAATATGAACCCAACTATGCTAGGGTCGTGTGATACATGTTTTATGGCCAATTTTACATTTAAAATTCAATGGTGTGAGCTAGACAGCCATTGGGGCCAGTTTAGATTAATTCTGGCGGAGGTCAGGTCAAGGTCAGGTCAAAGAAGGTCAAATTTCAAAGTTGATATTTTACATAAAAGGGCATCTATTCGATGCAGCTCATCACAGGAAATCTAATGGTGGCCTTTGGCTTGCTTTGTGTGTTCTGTGACGGCTAAAAATTGAATTTGAAAATTTTACGTAATAAATTTTGAGTAGTTTTTTGCCATAACTTTGCTAAAAATGGAGCTATCGAGTTTAAGTTTGGCATATCTAGAGCAGATAGTTTAATAACATATATTTCAGTTTTAATTTTGAAAGTTGTTGACATTTTCGGGGTGTTATACTTCTATAGTTTTGATGGTCAAATCAATTTTTGTTTGGAAATAAGAGTTAGCAGTTTGGTAGCGCTGTTTATTTTACATTTTTTTGATCTTGAATATTTTTCGTTATCTTCAAAACTGTAAGCGTGACAGCTCTTTCCGCTAAACCTTTTATTGGGTCGGAAATGACAGAACATGGCATCACTCTGACGTCATTTGTGACTAACCTTTCATAAGAGCTCTGGAAAAATTTGGTCACAAGGTGTAAAAATGATGCCCGGCCGGAGTCTTGAAAGTTTGGTGGCGAAATTTGCTATACTTTAGGAGATATCGACTGAAAAGGAGAGAGGGGGCCGTTTCGCGCCGCCCTCCCCCTCAACGGGGCTTTCAGTCGCAGCTCTCACAGAACTCTTGGTTATATTACAACGTAGTGGAATTGCAAGTGGCAATATAAGCTTCCTGCCAGCGCCGGACCAGAGTTTAAATATGCAGGCTGAATTTTAACATTTAACTTTTGAATTTTTAAACCGTTGAGCTTTTTAGAAGTTGTATGAACTGTTCAGCTCCTTTTTTGGTCCATCACAGCGGGCTTGTATGTCATTTTGTCAACCAAATTCGAATTAACAACTTTTTATTTGGTCTGGCTACCTCGCCAACGTCTTAACTGGATCGTTTATTAGCTTTTGATTGGGATCTGCCCACGTTGTCTGTCTAGCTTTTCGTGTCATAGACACTGTCTATGACACGAGAAGAGGCTGCTGACATCGTTTGTCGCGGTTGGATAATACCAATCCACGTCCCAGTGGCTGCTCGATCGCACTTTCCCTGGCCCACCTCTCCCACCAGGCGAGACTTTGCCCGGCACAGCCGTCGCCTCAGTGCCTCGGGCGGTGACCCGTTCAAAGGGGCTCACAATTCGTATGGTGCCGTGGCTCTCAAACCAATACAGAACAGTGAAACGCAAAGGCTCACTTTCCATATAAGGCGAACGGCTGATCCTGGCGCCGGGGCTTCATTCATGCTAAGGCGCCCAATCACAGCGCCGCATTTCAGTTAGTGTCGGGCGCAAAAGCTACTATGCTCCGCCCCTCCATCACGTGACCCTGCCCTCACGTGGCCTCAGTCACGTGGTGTTTCCACTTCTTGGCGCATGGCGGCGCTAGTCTCGCAGGGGCGGTGGTAGCTTGCTCCCCCGCTGTCCGGGGGTGATGGGTAGCAACTGCTGGTGACTGTACATACATACGAGTACCTACATTATAAATTACACAGGGGTTCCCTATGCAGAAAAGCATTTGAGTCAAATCTAACACCAATGGCTCGCTCGGGTTGCTATGAAAGTGCACGGCGAATATTCACCATGCAATCGGGAATGTTCAACCGACTGGTCGGGAAGTTAAGCTACATGAAGTCGCTATTAAATGCAATATGTTTTTTTACACATTACAGTCCATCGCATATTGACGGAACCAGGAATCGTTTCGCTGACTGGAATACGCACTTGGCAGCACCGGTGTCATTATATCTTACCAGATGTCATTGCTAAATATGAAAGAAAAGCATTTCAACCTTCGCCGGGCAAGGGTGAGGGGGGGGGGCTGGTGCCGCACCCTGACGGTTTCCTCACGATTGCTCGGAACGCGCCGGCCATAGAGAGGTGAAAGTTGGCAAGCCTGGCCGTTGATTTAAACTGGGTATAATTTTGTGACATCACCCGCATTTTCGGGTCATGTCAGGCCTCAGTGACCTATAATGCCATAAGTAAACCTCTGCACGGTCCTAAAATGTCGCAACTTCGAAACGCCCTCAATACCAACTACCAAGGGATCTTTCACAGGGAATTTAAGCTTACGAGACTCAGTAACCTTCCAAATGTTTCATCCGTTCACTGCTCGCGCCACTAGGGCACGGTCGTGCGTGCGTACCATGTCGTCCACTCTGTGCCAGCCTAGTGCCGCAAGTGTGGGCGGGCGAGATGTGCTCTGAGCGGCGCACCCCAGACACCATTCTGGCCGCAAGGTTCAGACTTTTGAACTCGTTGGAGGTGGCACTGGGCGGCTCCTCCCCAAACGGACAGGCAGTAATGAATGTGGGGAAGGACATGTGTTTCGACCAGCAGCTTACGTACTTCAGGAGTGAGATGATGACGCACTTTGAAGAGTGATATGGTGATGGCGTTGCACCGCCGAACGACTGCGTCAATATGGGGTTGCCAGGTCAGCTGCTGGTCGAGAAGGACTCCGAGGATTTTCACGATTTTGGATGGCTGAATGGTTAAGCCGGATGAGATGTGGAAATCGTGGGTTTTTGCCAAGGTTTGTTTGGTGCCAACGAGAGTAAAGGATGTTTTTCTGGGGTTCATCTTCAGGCTGTTCTGCTGGAACCAGGTTTGGAGTTCGGATAAGGATTCTTCGACGCGTGTTTTGAGGCTGGATAGGCTGACGACAGTGGGAGGGGAGTGGTCGAGGATCTGGGTGTCGTCGGCGTAGGATAATAAGCGGCCATGGGTAAGGAAGCTGGAGAGGTCGTTGGTCACGAGGAGGAACAGGATCGGACCGAGGATGGATCCCTGGGTTACGCCGTGGGACACGTGGAGAGGGTCGGAGCCACCACCAGTAACCACCTGCCTGCGGTTGTACAGGTAGCTCGCAAACCATGCAGACGAAACACCATACCACTCCAGCTTATTCAGCAGGAGGGCGTGGTTCACACTGTCAAACGCCTTACTGAGGTCTATTGAGACTAGCGACACGACATGGCCATCATCGACATGTTTATCTATCCAGTTTACCGCGTCGAGCATTGCGTGTCCAGTTGAGTGAGACGGCCTATAAGCGTACTGGTGAGGAGATAAAATGTTGTTCTCGATCAGATAAGACATCAGCTGAATGGCCACCACCTTCTCCAGGATTTTAGAGAGCACTGACAGTATGGAGATGGGTCTGAAATTCCTGGGATCTGACTGATCGCCTGATTTGTGAATGGGGATGACGCGGGCGAGTTTCCAAGCTTCCGGGAACACAGCTGTGACGATGGAGCGGTTGATGAGATGAAGGAGATGTGGCCCTATCACCGGAAAACAGATGACGATGGCGTGAAGCGGCACTCCGTCCACTCCGGCGGCGCGAGCAGCAAATGTCTACCTTTTGCGTTGTTGGCGTTGCATGTCACTAAGGCCATCGGAGTTTTTCGCCGATAGCTTATGATCAAATTGAGCTACCGAGTCGGGAAAGCCACTGAAAAGACCTGCCGAATCGAATGATATGCGACATGACCTCGTTCGCTTCGTGGCCTGAGTGACTTTGGCAAACTCAAGGCCCTAAGTTGACCTCACCTAGACAAAAGGTATATTTTTCGAAGCGCCTGAGCATGAAGAACACTGTGTGTAAAGTCACAGATCTAAAAACATTTCCTAAGAAGCCACTTACAAAAAAAAACTTTCTTTAAGTAACTTAGCCTGACCTCAGATGTTGTAGGTTGGCCTGAGACTTAAAATTCGAGTACCAGTCGTTGCGTCTCGCAGATTCCCATTCCTTCTTCCAATCACGCTCCAACTCAATAGGGGCGAAACGGCGTGAGGTTCTACCCCCCCCCCCTTGAACTTTAATGGTACAGTTAAAGTTCGGCGGCTTAATTCTCAGGCATCGACCCAGCATTGACTGGTCTGACCTTAGGGGACGGACGGGGCTGCGTGCAGCAGGCTCTGCTTAGTCCATTCATCCGTCCGTCGATTCAAACATTCGAGCCATTTCTATAGCAAATTGGCTCCGTTACTGGAATTTTGTCGTTGTGTTTTGGTTGATATTTAGTAAAATTTTGGTTTCCCTTTAATCTGAAAATGACTTCATTCATAAAGTCAGTATGTGAAGGACAAATCTCCCCCGTCAAATTGGCTTCTCATGGTGTTGTCACCCAAAGTTACATTTCCCCTCTTAAGCTGTAACATTTTTCATAGTTCAGTTAGTCGAGTTATGCTTTACGTTGCCGTATTGATTCTTATAACCACAATATATGAATTAAATGAAAGAAATCCCTCGATAAATCAATGCAGAAAACACTTTCAGTCATCATTTTACGGTATATTGCATAAACAAATCACACACCCTCGTAACAATTCTCGTAACAAGGCAAAAACAAAACAGGTTCTTGAAAAGACTACACTAAATGAGTCCGCTGTGCTGTAACTGCTCACAAAACAAAGATAATACCAAACAACTAAGCAAATAATCAAAGTAGGGGTGTTGTGTTATCAGGGAATTTTCCGCACTCGCGCCGTGGCCTTTCTAGCCACTCTCATGACGTGCGGCCGGTGTTACTGGAGTCTTCTTTGTCTACTTGCCGAGGGCGGTGGCGAGCTGGCAGGCGGGCCAGTTGATGTCGTTGTTGATGGCCTGCAGCTGCTGGCACAGCTGCGACAGCGACGCCTGCGTCAGCGCGCCCCTCTGGGCGGCCGTGATGCCGGCAGAGCCCGAGGACGCCTGGCAGGCCGGCCACTGGACGCCGTTGTTGATGAGCTGCAGCGCCTGGCACAGCTGGCTCAGCGTGAGGCCTCGGTTGGCCTGACCGTTGTCAGAGCCGGAGCCCCATCCCTGGCCGTTGTCAGAGCCGGAGCCCCATCCCTGGCCGTTGTCGGACCAGGAGCCCCATCCCTGGCCGTTGTCGGAGCCGGAGCCCCATCCCAGTCCGTTACCGGACCAGGAGCCCCAGCCCTGGCCGTTGTCAGAGCCGGAGCCCCAGGTCAGGCCATTGTCAAACCTCGGCTTGGCCGAGGCACAGGCCAGCAGAGCGGCGATCACCAGGATGGTCTTCATGGCTGGACGGCGGTGGCTGATGAGTGGTGACCTCCCAAGTTCAGCACGGCCTTTATATACCCGACTGTGACCGGTAACAGGTGTTTCTGTGACGCCCTGTGACGACGGCGGGCGTCTCCACTGACGGGCCTGTCCGTCCGTCCATTGTTCGGAAATGAATCGGATGTCGTTCTCGGGCTCTGTGAGTGAGCGCAGGTGCGCTACTTCCATCCGAATAAACGTGAATTCCGAAGGCTCAAGGTTCCAATAGAAATGAGATATGAAGTTACAGAAAGACTGCTTTATACAATTATCAATACATAATTTTATGAAATAATGTTAAATGATGTGAACGTCAAAATTGCATTTCAATGTGAAAATAACGCCTTCGGTGTGCAGCGACTGATGAGCCGACTAACGAGATCATTTGGATTCCCAGGGTCAAGGTCATTGCAATTTCAGGTCATTTAGAAACCACAATAGCAAATTTACAGGAAAATAAAAACGACAAAGCTTGAAATCTTTGGGATGACAAACTCTTCAAGTAATTAAGAACATGTTATATGTTAGGGAGGAAACGCAATACCAACAGGCAACAATTTATAAAAGTTCAAATGCCAAATCCGTATTGGCTTGATATTGGTTTTATCAAGACTTCATATTCAATCAACATCAAGGCCGCCCCACACTGGACCTCGCATGCAGGGTGCGAGCCTGCGGGTTTTGGATTCGCGGGTATAATACTCATTCATGGAGTGATTTGACCATTCTTCTATGGTCACATGAATGCAGTGAAGCCCCTCAGAAAATTGCATACTATCGCAATACCAGCACAACGAGCCAAAATTCGACTTTAACAAACACACCAAAACTCGCAGCCCTCGCAGCGAGGAAAATCGGAAGTTGACTCAAATTCAACTTTTTGAATGCGGTGCAAGTTGGCTCGCATGCTGAAGACATACAGACTCGCTTGTTACATGGTAGTGTGGGTCACTCAACATCGTGTATTCTTTAATTTTAAAGAAACCCGAAAACCCAAAAACTCGCAACCCGCATGCGAGGTCCAGTGTGGGGCGGCCTTTAAACGCCATGATGCCATTTAACCCGGCAATTGCTTGAGTTGAATTTCGAGGTCACGGATTGGGTCAAGATCGGGCCAACCAATCGTGTTGGTTTTTTAATAGCATTGACTTTAGGACCTTGTGCTGAGCGTCTCTCTCGGATCTTTAACCCTCGCCGGACCTATTGGTTTTCTACATACGCGCCGGCCGAGGGGGGGGGGGCGGGTACGACCCCCCCCCCCTCGCCGTTTCGCCCCTGGTGGAGCTAGCGCGTCGCGGAAAAAACGAGCGTGTGCGCCGTTACGAGACGCAGAGATTGGTACCCGATTTTAAGGTCCTAGGTCAACTGGTGACCTCTGAGGTCAGGTCAAGTGCCCCAAGGTACGGTTCAGTTTTTGGTGAATAACTTCGCAAAAAACGGCCGCAGAGCGCCGATTTTGGCAGCATCGTGTTTGTCTCGCTCAGGCGCGTCGAATGATATACTTTTTGTCCGGGTCAGGTCAACTTGGGGTGTTGACCTCAGGTCAAGGTCAGGTCAGCACCCCCAGGTCACGAAGTTGGTCGAAAGGGGTCATGTCGCATATCATTCGATTCGGCAGGTCTTCCTGAGTCCATTGGTGGCTTTCCCGGCTCGCTAGCTCAATTTGATCAAGAGTTATTGACGAAAAACGAATATGACCTTGATGACGTCATAAATGACGTCACGCAAGGTCAACATTGCAAAAGTGACGCATCTAACCTTGCAAGGAGTGCATCAAATCACGATTCTGTGTGCTTGAGATAGTTGGAGATCGTTCCCGGCGCCAGAATAGCAGTTTTCATTTTTCCCCATTGACTTATAATGGTGAGGTCACGAAAATGACCTGACCTCATATGACCTTTAGGAAAAATCCGAGATATACAAGTTGTGAGACTCATAATGGATACTAGATCCTGCAAGTTTCATTTCCCTGTGACATCTCCTCTGGCAGTGAGGGCGTTGCGAAGTTGCGACATCTGAAGACCGTGCAGAGGTTCACTTATGACGTCATAGGTCAGTGACCTGACCTGACCCAAAAATGCGGTTGGTGTCAAAAGATGCGGCTTGGATCAAAGGTCAGGTATGCCAAGTTTCAGCTCTCTATCGCCAGCGTGTTCGGAGCTATCGCGAAAAAACCCTATGGGGGGGGGGGGGCGGCACCCGCCCCCCCCCCTCGGCCGGCGAGGGTTAAGGCCAAGTTACCTTCTAGGTCCGGTCATCAGATCACGAAAACCGGTACATTAAGTTGACCCTCGCCCGTATTGGCCTTTTAAAGCGTCTAACGTTCGAGGAGGAGGTTCGTTACACATACCCCTCCCCCCCGCTGTTCTGCCCCTATTCGAGCTGGAGCTTCGCGAAAAAACGAGCGTGTTGCCCGTGACGAAAGGAAGCTGATGATACCCAATTTTAAGATCCTACGTCATTGGTTGAACTTCCAGGTCAGGTTAATGATGCAAAACTCAGGAAAATCGGGACCTTCTTGCACTTTGTAAAAGAGGTTGTCATAATTTTTCCAGGTGTCCTGATTACAAATTGCATGCCACTTTTGATCAGATAAAGATGCATTTGGGGTATGTCGGGTCAGGTCAGGTCTGGTCAAACAGTAGGCGCCTACCGGCTATCCGTAGGGGGATTTTAACCACCACTGATAGCTTCGTCGCATGTTACGTGGGCATCAAAGCTACTTCCTGAACCCACGCCCTGGTGGGGTCCGTTTACAGCGAAACCTGGTGGGGAGGCTACTTTGCCCCCCTCGTATCGCCGATACTACTGGACGGATTCGCAAAATTCAAGCGACGTTCGATAGCCCTGTCAAATTCGTCAAAGGAACTTTAAGTTCATTGAACTCGGGGTCACCGATGACATCACAGGTCAGGTCAAAGATAAAATGCTTCACCGTTCACGGGTCTTCTAGGGAATGCGCTAAAGCATCGAGTAAAACGTATTTAATCGAAAATCAGCGATAGAGCGTCAGTAGCCTAGTATATATGTTGCTAATAGAGGTCACTGATACCAGGTAAGGTCAGAGGTCAGGTTACCAAGAACCCAATATGAGCAAGCAGATGAACCCAATTTTACTAGGGCTGTGCGATGCATGTTTTGTGGCCAATTTTTCATTTCCAACTCAATGGTGTTGGTATGATGAGCATCAGAGACGGATTTTTCATTTCCACCTCAATGGTGTTGGTTTGACGACCATCAGAAACGGTTTGTTTGTTTGTTTGTTTATTCAGTATATCGCCAACGGGATAAGGCCTCCCACTGATAGGCAAAGTCATCCGTATACAACAATGATCACTTCCTTTAGATCACTTCCTGGTAGAGGTCAGGTAAATGTCAGGTCAAAAAGGTCAAGTTTTAAAATTGATATTTTGCATAAAATGGGTATCGATTCGATGCCGCTTGTCACGGGGAGTCTAATGGTGGTCTTTGTTTTGCGCTTCGTGGTCAATAATTGCTAAACATTGAGTTTGAAATTTTGACGCCATCAATTTTGAACAGTTTTTTCGCTATAACTTGGCCAAAAAGGAATCATCGATCTCAAATTAGGTGTATGTAGATGGAAGACGGTAGGGACTATCACATTTATTCCGTTTTTTTTTTCGAAATTGGCAAAACGTTTGGGATTTTTTTTTGCCTCCAACATTTTTTTTAAGGGGGGTCTAAATAAAAAAATCAAAGTTTCGAAATAGCAGTCTTATAGCTCTGATAATTCTACACCCTTAATGTCTCTGACGTCATTAGCGGCCCGCCTATCATAGCCTTCGGAAAAAGTTTTGGTCACAATGTGCAATAGCTATTCACGGGAGGGTACTGAAAGTTTGGTGACGATCGGCGCAGCGGTTCTGGAGATATATCGAAAAAAAAACAAAGGGAGGGGCAAAAAATGCCCCCCCCCACCGCCTAGAAGGGTATGACAGCATACAGGGTGTCCGGAAATTATTTGCCCCCTGTTCATTCAGCTATAATCCCACCGTGCGCTTTAAGAACTGTTGAAAATTTGCTAAGACCATGCCTCAGGCTATCCACAGCTGTCCGTTAGCCACATGACTTAACCCAGTCACCTGACCTTGACACTTGTGAGGCGCCAGGGGCATGTGTTTGGCAGGCGTGACTCGCACCTAAACGTGGTGTCTACCACGACGAAAGAAACTCTTTGACAAAGCGTCATCGCGCTGAAATTACGGTGAAAACTGGAATGAAGTAGGAAGTCAAATATAATCCTCTGTCCTAATCCCAATCGAAACCTCATGGGGAATCATAAAGAAGGAGCTCATCAAGGTTGAACCAGCTCCCACAGAAAACGGACTTTAGAGGAACCTGTGAAAGGTGTGCCTGAAGCTGAACATCAGCGCGGATACTCTGGACATCTTGATCCATGGAATACCAAAGCGGATGAGGGAATGGGGACAGGGCAGGGGATTAATTGGTATGAATAAACCTTGACCAGGGGGCTTTTTGTTTATTAATTATGGCGGCGAGGTGATGGAGGGGCAAATAATTTCCGGACACCCTGTAATGTAGCGCCTGAAGTTATGCTGTGCCGCATGTCTATAGTTCTACCGCTAGATGGCAGCATAATATAACGCCTGAAGTTATACTGTGCCGCATGGTTATAGTTCTGCCACTAGGTGGCAGCAGCCTACGGCGCCCGAAGTTATACTGTGCCGGATGGTTACAGTTTTGTCGCTAGATGGCAGTATAATGAAGCACCTGAATGTATACTGTGCCGCAATGTTTTGCTTCTCTCACCTGATGCGGCTGATGGCGGCGGTATTGACTTGAGCTCCTGAGATTGTAGTGTGCCGCGTAGGTACTGCAAATTACGTCGATAAAGGACACAGGTCAATCTGCCCCTGCACCGTTCCGTGCTTCTATCCTCAGGATACAGAAATCCTTCTCCTCCACGCCGCAACCCCCCTCCGGCCTGGACAGGCAACTTTATCTCATGCGGGCTGCTCCCTTGGAGCGGCACCGCTGCTCTCGAGGGAGCGCACCCCGTAGCCGGGTGCAGTCAGTGTCTTGGGGCTGGGTGGCCTGTCCTTTGGACGGGCTCAGCCCCGGCGACTCACTAGGGTGCCTGCCCAGACCAATGTCTCCCCCTTTATCCTATCATCTTCCCGGCTCTGAAATAGTCTTGCCAGACCGAAAGGGCCTAACCCAACAAAACAAAACAAAACAAACAAATCTGCCCCTGCACAGACTAAGCAGTAAGCATATACCTACTTATGGCCGTTCCGCATTCGTGGGTTTCCCGCCGATATACGTGTACGTATTATGTACTGTCGCAGTCAGCGCCGGCCCGCACCCGGTCGGCACCTAACTACCCCCGACTGGACGGCGGATGGAGCTCAGCTTCCTCACTGAGTCGCACGGCGGCCTAGTGTCTCAGCTCCTCGCCCGTGTTAACGGCGGCATCGTGACCCAGCTTCCTCAGCCGTGCCGGGCGTCGACCCTTGTCTCAACTTCCTCACCCGTGTCTGACAGCAGCCCCGTGTCTCAGCTCCTCGCCCGTGTCAGCGGAGCCGTCGTGATCCACTCCCAGCTTCCCCACCTGTATCAACGGTGGACCTCGCCAAGGCCAATCGGCACCTATCTGCGACCGGACAGAGCCCAGTTATCTCATTGAACCCGCACCCGCGCCCAGTCGGCACCCACCTCCTACTGGACGGCGCCTAGCGCCTTCAGTGAGTAGGACGGTAGACCCCGCTCGGGCGGAACCTACCTCGGACTGGATGGCGCCCAGCTTCCTCAGCGCGTCACCAATGATCTCGTTGACGCCGGCCAGAGTGTCCTTCCGCTCCAGGCGGAAATAGGGCGCTATCGGCATCTCGGCGTCGTGCGGCAGCAGCTTAAAGTCCACTTGCAGGTCGTCGAAAAAGTGAAACTCCATCAGCTCCAGATTTGCCAGCTCTAGCTGTGACACACAATGCAGAACATGATTATTTGTTGCAAAAAAAATGCATCATTTCAATTAAAAACCCATAATATGATTGAGAGAAAATGTCACAAAATGCTTCCAACGAATCGATTACATAGTTATATATTAACCGATGTCATGATTGAAATGAATATCTGTAAACACTGCATTACGTCGTCCTATTATAATGCTTACGTTATCCCACAAGCTTTCAATGAAAAGCATCCGCTTGATCTGCGATAACACATCGGTGAAAATTCTTTGCTGAAAGGATCTTTCCACCGACTCCCAGTGCCAGTGTCCCACCTTGAGCTCGACCAGTCGTCCCATGACGGCGTCCAGACTACGCCGGAGCACCAGCCGCTTCTGTGGGTGCACCGTTTGGTCGTAGCAGCGCGCCAGGCCGCTGAGCAGCCGCAGGTGACGCAGGTACAGGCCCAGCAGCCCCTCCAGCGCCAGAGCCTTGTTCTGTAGGGGCGGTAAGGGGAAGGGAGTCTGTGGATGAGGGACTTATCCGGGCCGCATCGGTGGTCAAGGATTTCAAGAGTGTAAGGATATGTTATAAATACAGCTGATTGTCAAAAAAAAAAATCAGACAGCATATCCCCAAGCCTGATCTGCGCGGAATATCCAAAATAATAATAGAATCTCGATAAATAATTCTAAGGGTGATAACTTTGAAGCACAAGTTAGGTCCCTAAACGCTCACGACAGTCGGCTCCAAAGACACTGCATCTAGCCCCCCCCCCCCCCCCCACACACACACACCTCACCCAGCAACCTCTCCAAGATCACCCGAGTCCCCACAGTTTATCCCACAGGCCTTCCCAGTCCTCTGATCCCTGGCCAGCCCCAGTGGCCAGTCACAGTCGTCCCCCCCCCGTACTTTCCCAGGGGCCAGTGCTCACATGTTCGGGCTTGGCGCCGGCGGCGGCCACCTCCTTGGAGACTATATCGTCCAGGTGGTCCTGGACCTCGCTCCACAGCTCCATACACAGCCTGACGGACGGCGCGGGGTGAGGTCAGGAGAACTGCAGAGGCTCGGTCCACAGCTCTATACATACACAGCCTGGCGGGCGGCGCGGAGCGGGCCGGTTAGGTGAGGGGCACAGCAGTGGGCACGGCAACATTTCCAGCTGGGACCCAGCTCAAGTGCGGGTGCTGGATATCGTTACCGTTGGTCGGGGACAGGCATGGGCACGAGAATACCGGGCGTGGAATTTAGACACGAAGGTATGCAAGCATATACACTCGGCACACATCCCAACATGTTGACTTTCAGAAAACGCTCCACGATTTCGACTCGACTACGGTGACGGGAAAATTGACGACAATGGACACCGCTAATGCATCGTCTTCGCCAGTGTATGTGTGTAAGTACGTCAACGAACCAGTGTTCGGTCGAGCGTGCGCAATTTATCAAATGGTGTGCGGAATGCGGATAAGCGGATTGTGCACTTACTTGTTCGACATGGCGATTGATCAATTGAGCAGCAGATGACGCGATGCAGCCCACAGACACTATATCCCGGCCGAATCCATTATTCCAGACTGACGTACTTTGATCCTCTTGATGGATTGGTTGCAATATGAAAAGAAGAGATGCTTAATTAAACAGGGTGCAGAGAAAGGCTATTCGTAAAAATTCTTAGAAGTGTTCGAAATACAGCAGAAAGAAAAACGGTTGGCTCCAAACCGGAGCCACGGACCCAAACTGATGTGGAAACAATTTTTGAGACCACTTTTCACTTGCCGGCGTTGGCCATTCTTGAACCTTCGACGACACAGAAGGAGCAATTGGAGCCGTATTACTTTGCTACGACCCTTTTCGGGCCTGGCACCTAAATGGGCTAAGGCTTCGATATAAAAATTTCAGGTTAAGTGTCCACAGAATGAACGCATGGATGCCGCGTGATTCGCATGGAAAGTCTCAGCCAAAACGCGTTTGAGATTGTCGATGCTAAAATGCTCTTCCGACCCTCCCCCCCCCATGCTAGCGGTATGTTACTGCACGGCCAGCCCTGCCGGCTCTGACCGCCAAAACTGTCACAAAACAAAACCCGGCCAAGCCCGGTCTTGGCAGTCGGTAGTTACCTACAACGTGCCAGGTATGAGATTACCTACATGTCACTGGACGCAGGACGCTGACGGAGGTCGAGTGATCGGCACAGTATCCGGCCTTATATAATTGAAAAATACAATTCTAACGAACAGTGTTTGTGTATTTCAAATAACCTACGGTTAACGCCCTCATTAGTCATTGGTAATGGGTACTATCTCCATTAGACCGCAATGCAAGGCATTGACAATCATTAGCGGTTCTACGAGTACATTTACCAACCGAGCCACTGCCACGGAGGCTGCTGTCGTTGTTATCCCTCCAACTCAACGCGGCAGTAGCCGGGCATAGCCGTACCATTACGGGCCGTACGGCTCCGTGTGAGGACCCAGCTGCGCCAGCGACCGCTAACACGCCGTCGTGGCGACGCCCCACAGCTGATGCCGGTTCTAGCGCCGCGGAGGTGAATGGGTGCTCCAAGCTGCCGCATTGCTGGCACTGCCTTCTAGAGTCACGCTCGATCGGCAGGTTATAAACCAGTGGCCGACACAGACTCACAGCGGATAAGCACCGGACTGCCGGGAGCCCGGCCATCGCTGCCGGAGGGAGTGGAGGTCCATGAGGTATCGACCTTGGGCCACCTTACAGCAACAGTCGACGGTACATACCTACCCGCGCACCTCTGGCTGCCACTCGGTGGAACCTATTTACTCGTACCCGTGCGGGCGTCCAGCGCGACCCCCTGCGGAAGTTCGAGTTGGGCAAAAGCAAGTGGGCCGCGTCCAGCCTCTTGCACCGGAGGCCGGAGGATGAGTGTTTCAGGCTCTGCTCCTGTAATGGTCTGAGACGAGCAAAGACACAAGCAGCCCTTAGGTGAGAAACAGAACAGCAACAATTAGGCAATCTTTATCGATGATAGCAATGATAGTATAAACCCGCAGTTACTTACATTTTATGGAACAGGTAGAGTTGATGTCGGTGCGTTTACACGCCGTCGTTACACTCCACAATAATTCGAGCAACAAACCTTGCACCCACAGTCCACACTGGTACACATCTCGCTTAATAATTTACAGTTTTCGGTGATAAATCGCAATTAATTCACAAAATAGTATTTACCGTATGCCTTTAGTTATCTCTGTTTGTTTTTGTAACTCGTAATGTTTTGTCTCATCTGCGTCACTTACAGCCCATGAAAATGAATTGTTGCCATGGATACCACTTTTGATGACGTAAGGTTTAAATAAAGAGCTATTTAATTCAGTTTTGTGCCTAGTTTGTCTTTATTTTGACTATTTCTATGTGGAAATTTTATAGGCATATTTATTTTGTTTAAATTTAAGGTACCAAACTTAAAAACTTTTATTCTATGTAAAATATTATTTTTTGAACATCAGTTTTTTTCTGATCCTTGACGATGGGAGTGGCGGCGTCCGACGACGACATCCATTGTGGTTAGCAACTGATCTTCAGAATATCTGTTATTTTATAAACTATTTATTTTTTGACGAAGTTTTAATTATCATTTCTCCACGCATCGTCATCGGCCGTTTCAAAGGTATTTAAACATTGGATTTTTCCATAGCTTATGATAATGTGTAAGTTATTTTGTTTTGCAATTTCTATGAATTATTTAAGAATTAAAGCTGTCTTCAATAGACGCTTCCTATCCCGTAGTTATACACCCTTTGCCTATTTCTTCTACATTTTAATGAAATTTGTTATTCTGACAGTTTGTATGATTCTGACCAGATGAGATTGTGTATTTAACGACTTCTTGTGTAGGTATTCGTTTTGGGATTGGGATTGGGATGTGTTGGGATTCAGCTCAAGAGTAAGATGTTTGCCTGTCATAAGGATAAAAGACATTATTTGAATTTAAGAATGTTGTCCTTGTGAGGCTATTTACATGGGCAAGACTTCAATTGGCTTGCCAAGTTAACCTTTTGATAAGTTTTCTGCAAAGAAGTGTGCAAAGTTTGGATATTGTCCACGTTCTTCTTATCTGCTTCCCCATCTTTGGCAGGTACCCTCACCGTGGCTACCGCTGCCATGATCTGTAATGCTTTACATATTTTTGACAGCCATTTTGACCATAACAGGCCTTCTCACTCACTGCTCTTTTCAATATTTTTGTTTGTAGTTTAATGAATGATGATATGATGTAACCATGTTTATTTTAAAGTAAGTTCCTACCTTTCCTGTGGGTGGTGTCTTAGCAGCAAAGCATTTTGTTTATTTGAAGCTTGATTGGATAGATATTAAGCAGAGCTGGTGTACAGCAGGCCGTCAACCCCTATGACCTGTAGTCTGTCTATCATGCATTCCCAGGCTTCAGGACAATTGGGTGCAACTGAGCTGCCCAACAACTTTGAGCACAATCTGCCCCACTGAAGTGACTTCTGCTGGCTGTGGCTGCTCCACCCACCGACTGCTATTTGTCCTGAGTTCACTATCATCCATGCTGCCTTGTTGGCTGCTCCCTGCCCACCTTTACCAGTTTAATATACCATTTTCCATGTCATGCTGAATTTTTTACAATGTACAGTTTGTACACCTACATCTCTGCTTTATTTTGATGATAAAGCACACTGAATGGTTTTAGCATGTTGTGTAACACAAAAAATGACTTTCCTAAAAAGCAGATGTGTTAATGTTCCAAGTAGTGCAATGTTTTGAAGTTTCTATTGTTCTTTGCTCCATCTGTATGCATTTTATCTATTAATTTTTATATTGACTGGAGTAATGATGACTATTGTTAGCATTCTTCTCTTTCTAAACATGTGAATGTTTTTTTCTGCTAGTGTAAGAAATGCATAATTATCCCAAATAAAATTTCATGTCTTACATGCTAACAGTATACACTGTAGTGTACACCTTGTGAACACCACCATTATCCTCCTTTGCAAGTCACGTCTGTGCGTGAGTCCACAATGTTTCTTACTTTGTGGCTGTATCAGCCTACCTTGAGTCTACCACTGGCGCTAGCACTGCTGTCTACACTGCCCTGTACGCTAGCGCCCCTGGCGGCCGGCTCGGGAAGCTGGCTGTGCGGCGGTCGTCGTCCGCCTGTGTAGGGAGGGAGCCACGCCAGTGTGTGTGACGGGTCTGCCGACGAGCGTTGGTGGTGTTGCGAGTAGAAGGGGCGCGGCGTCTGTCCGCTGGTCTGTGCGGCGTCTGGCCAGTGGTCTCCCCGTGGTGTGGTGCGCTGTGCTGTGGTCTGTCGGGTGGCAGGCTGGGATCTGCGGTACAGTGGTGGTGCTCGGGGCAGTGCTTTTGGAGAAGCTGACCGTTGATAATCAGGTGGGTGCGGCAGGCTGACTCTGCGGCGACTTGGGGCGGCTCAGGATGGGGCGGGCAGTACGGTCAGTGTTGACCATGGTTCTGGATGTGGGATGGAGCCTTTAGCTCGCATTCGTCGATCGTGACAGTGTATTCCTGGCCGGTCACCTTGTGCCTGTCTGTCCAGTTGATCCGCGCAATAATTGCATATTAATTTGTGGTAAAACCATCTGTAATTATTATGATGCCACATTCAGTGGATACCTATCCAGAAGAGGTCAAGGAAGTGTAGTTTCTAACCTCGAGCCTTTCGCTGTAACGTTTACGTTTGCCCTCATTCCTGTTATTCGCCGCCTCTGCTGTAGTCGTATTTCTAGGTTTTGATTATTTTGACAGGCATATTTGAACGCTCGATGCGTGTGTCGTGGGACTTTACTCCTCTAGAACTGAGCAGGATCTCAGGCTTACGAGGTGCGGAATTCGTATACTATTCTCACAGCTATTCGATTTTGCGTAGCTTGACGCCATCAATCAGCAGTTAGATCGGGATTGAAGTACACCCGAGAAGAACACTCGATGCGGCGTTTGTTTATTATGAGTCGTACGAATGTAATCCCTCTGGTTGAGGACAGGGACTGGCCCGATCGCTGGTCCCCTCGTCAGTCTCGGACGCAGCTCTGTTTGGGCTGCAGCTGGGCGGTTTACGCGATACGGTCACCCAGCCAGTCGCCAGTGTAGCTCTGCATGTCTGGCAATGTATGAATCATCAGTCCTCGGCTCGCCATAGTGGTATGCATACGGTAGTGAATATCGAAAAGGTTCATTCGGTATGACAAGCTGAAGCATAGGGGAGCTCTCTCAAAGATATTCACATCTTCACTGACCCGATTCCGGAGCTGTTGATCTCACATGGTCTATTTCGGTGCCGTGTGTGGCTATGAAAGGGGTGAAAATGCACTCTGCCGCCGATGTCATGGGAACAGTTAGCCGTTCAGCTGTTCTGATGTTGTACCCCGTGGCTGGTGAGCTCTGATTTGGGCTGTGGCTGTTTGTTCGTGTGAGGTGAAAAGGCAGCCGTTATGTGACGTGACTCGAGAGGCGATAGTGTCGGGGAGGCCATTTCCCTGGGCTGGTAACAAAGCTTTCGATTGCATGACGAACGGCTGGCTGGGCGCTGTGATTTTTTATATGGTGACTCAGCAACAGTAAATAAATCAAGTAAACGAATCATGATAATCACAGCAGTCACTGAGCATGCAGGGCAATGCTATTGTGACCTTGTATTACAGTTGTCTCGTGTCTATTCCTGGTGAATACATTAGGACAAGCGTGTCGGCCGTTGGGGCCATGGAAAGGTCTTAATAGTGAGGCCGGCCAGATCACTGGAGAAAGTGCTGCCAACGTCGCGTTCGCTCAGCAATAACTTATTCACATTCACGGCACCAAAACTGGCTGCTGATCAGTTTGGCGGTTACCAGCAGCTGGCCACAACACCCTCCCCTCCATATCCCCCTACCGCAGGCACCCGTCAAACCTGTCGATACCGAGGGGTGACGCCATCCACTGCCGCGGTCCGACCGGCCTGTCACTGAGGTCGCCGGTCGTCAAGGGGTGCGGTGCCCTCTGGGCCCACTGGTCTGATCCGCAGCCGCTGCACTGACAATGCCTGCCAAGGGCTGCTACTGCTGTCAGTGCCTGCCGAGATGCCGTGGTCATGGCTGCTGAGCCGCAGCACTGTCAATGCCTGTCGAGCTGCCACGGTCACGGCTGCCGCAGCTGTCGCGGTCTGTCACACTCACAGCTATCGAGCTGCCACGGCGGCTTGTCACGGCTAAGCGGCCACGGTTCACTGCGGTGCTAGAGCTGCGGTGCTCGTACAGTACAGCTCAGTCGTTCATTACTAAATTGCCGTTGGACCGGTGTTGCCGCTGTGGCCTGGAAGGTAGGTAGTTGCGGCCTGTTAGGGAAGGGGCGTGTTCATTGAGGAGTGGGTACTGGATATGGTAGATCAGGGACTCCGACGAATGTATGCCCATGTCTTACAGAGTAAAACACTTAAACGTGCTTGGTGCTGTGTGCTGTGTGTGATTCGGCATGTGGTTGTCCACATTGTTGCAAATACAGCCGTAAGTGGCTGCGCGTGGCTTGTCTCATGGCTCTCGATCGTGCACGCCCCGCCCCGCCCGCTCGACTGATCGCCTATCAGTCCCTGCCGGAGAGGTCGGACGGAGGGTGACGATAAGTCGTCTGAGGGCTGGCAGAGGGCCGGCGGGCGCGGCTCAGCTTCTGCATATGGTCCGTTCGGAGCCATGCACGTCACTTTAGTATCGGCTAGTTAGTGGGAAGATGTACGCTTTCCGATGAGTAGCCTGTATTGAGAATTTAAAAGATAAAAGGGGCGGTGTGTTGAGGGAGGGCACAGGTGCCCGTAGGGTCGTTCAAATGAAACTGTCAGTGACATTAAGTTTCCTTTCGCAGGGTGACTGTGAAGCCGTCTTCCGAGTGAAGATATATTGACATCAGGGACGTACCGACACAAGGTAGGTCACGACTGAAACTGTCGGCACCATCTTCGTCACGTTTGTCTGTCACTGTATCTGTCGTCACGTTTCAGCTGAGAATCCTAATGTTGCCCTCTTTACATTCCAACTCACTCGCTCCCTGTTTCTTGCCGAAAGACGGAGGTAGAGCTCACGCTAAGTTCAGTTCAGTTATTTCACCTCTGGAGCCACTCGGGGATCACCGCATGAAATTACACTTCAAAACCCGCCGGTGTGCTTCAGTGCTCCCTGATCCACCTGTCTGCGCTGACGGGTGTCGGCGGACAGTCGCTGGCCGTGACGGCGTGACTGTCGGCGCTGCCGTAACGGTACCGATGTGCCGTGACGGTGTGTGCCGTGACGGTGTGTGCCGTGACGGTGTAACGCCGTGACGGTGTGTGCCGTGACGGTGTAACGCCGGTGACGGCGGTGGGTGGTGGAGGGGAGATGAGTCGCCGTCCCTCCCCTCCGCTCTGTACCGCCCTCCCATCGCTGTGTAACCGCCCTCCCTTCTGCTCCGTAACCGCCCTCCCCTCTGCTGTGTAACCGCCGTTGCCGCGTCGAACCGCCGTCAATCACCAGCCGTGACGCACGGTGTGACGCTCGTCACGGGCCGTGATGGCCGGCGTACGACGGGTGCCTGTGTGGGTGGCGGGGTACTCCCTGTTCTCGTCTGTTTTCGGACCGTGACCGGCGCCAGTCTGCCCCTGATGTCACGGGGCTGTGGCTGCGGCCGGTCGGGACGCGAGAGGGGCGCGGTGGGTAGGAGAGGGGAGGGGTGGACACGTCCGGTGGATCATTTTGATTTGTAATGGTGCGGTGCCGCTAACCGCCCCTATTCTCCCCTCCCCGCTCTCTGCTCCCCTTTCCACCCTCGCTAGGCGCGATGGTGGGACAGGTATGTACAGGCCGGACCCTTCCGCAGATCGGCTGCTGGTGGGTGGACACAGCGGCTGTGTTTGGTGAAGCTTCAGCTTCACCCGCGTCGTTATTGCGTTAGGCCGAAACGGCGTCGGGGTGCGCGGCGGGCCGCCATTGACTGCGAGCTGTCATAGCCGTTAGGGTCGTGACCAGTGCACAGCTCCTCAACCGCGGCTGTTACGCGGTGTTCAACAGACCCGGGTGAGGGTGCAGCTTCGTTGTTGGTCCTTTAAGAATCGGAGGCCGAAGCTATAGGTAACCTTAGAGAATGGTGTATGGTAATAGTCGGAAACACAGACAAAGGGATCAAGGCTTGGTCCGTTTGTCTGTGTTCAAGCTACCCAAATAAGGGTTTTGTAGTTTGTAGTGTGCTTTAGAAGACTTGGGTTTGAAAGCGTGATGGAGCCTCCCATGAGTTTTTTTTTTTTTCGCGCTGCATGTTTGACGGGTGAGGCGTGTAATTCGGGTCTGTGGCTGAGCTATGGCTGTCATTAGTTTTGATGACGTTTGAACTGGGCCGAGTCCGGGGCCGCGGTTATTTATTATTCGGGTGACCTGTTCTGCTGACAGTGAGGTCACCTCATCGGGTGTGAAATGTGAACTCTTTGTCACAACGGACACTCGTATGGAGACGGGTCAAATGTTCTCGAGCCTCTTCCAAAGCACTGTCGCTAAATTTGTTCCACATCTATTCAGCCGCTACCAATGTGGCCTTAATGTTTGTCTAGGCATCTAAAGACATAATAATTCCGCCACCTGACGCTGGGGTATCTATCGCCCTGTTTCGTTGCACCTCACGGTTCGAGCTCCGGTCCTTATACCTCATCTGACCGGATGTCAGATGACTTGGCATGAGGACACGGGAGCTGGATGCTGACAAGTGACAGAGACCTGTGAGCAGAGTATTTGGTCCGGGACCGGGGCTGAAATATTGACTCTCGCTCTCTGGCGCCGTCTTGCCGTTCCCCTGGGAGCCGTACTACCGTTCCCGTGTATTTGACCAGTGTGACTAAGTACGGTACACTGAATTGCCGCGGACCGGAGGCTGATGCCGGGATGGCTCCAGGTGTTCACTTCGTGCACGAGTCGCCGCCCACCTCCCGCCCGACTCTCGAAAGCTAGAGCACGACTTCTATGGGCTCAACAAACTGGCCCCTTGTCGAACCCGATCTCATCTGAACTTATTGCCTGCCCGTGTGCTGGCTTTGTTTACAGGACGCGATTTCAACCCTGCATGTATAACCAAGGTAGCCTGCATGCATTCGGTGTGCCCGCCACCATATCTGCCTGGTGTCAATGCACTGAGTTCAGGACGCTGTGTCGTGCATGGAGTCTCAGTGGTTATCGTGATGTCATGGCGCCTGTGGTGGCGGCGACAGTCGGGCAGATTGCCAGGTAGTGTTGCTATGGATATTACTGCAGCCTGCCAGATAGTGCTGCTATGGATACTGCTGAAGTCTGGGAGTGTGCCGGGTGACAGACACTGCTCCTAAGAAAGACACTGCAGTCGGAGTCTGTCAGATGCTCCCGCTATGGATCTTACTGTCGGGACCCAGTCGCCACACTGTCTTATGATTTGTCACACGGCCGCGCCATTCACTATCTGACAACAGTCACACGACCACCTTGTTGTCAGTGATGACACGAGTGACCTCTCCGCTCGGAGCGCGGTGCCCGTTCGGCACGTGACCGGTCCGCCGGATGTTTTGGCGTAGGGCGCCGACCACCTCTGTCAGCCTGTGCTGATCGCTGCACATCTCTGCTGCACTCCGCCCGGTCCGGTCCGGCCCGAATACAGAGCGGGCCGATACCGGGCTGGCAGCTGCCCCTGTCCGGTTTTTACCCCACCTGTCTGTCGGGAGAGGGAGAGGGAGTCGCGTGTAAACGGAGTGGAGAAGTGCAGAGTTCTCTGTTCTTGGTGGTGGAGTATGCTGCAGTGGACAGGTAAAAATGCGTCAAGGCTGCCGTTACCTGAGGTTCAGACTTGGGTGGTCGGAGGTGTGTTAGAGAAGTGCGGTCTCTGCCGCGCGATGCGAGACGAGCGAAGGACGACGTAGCCCGTCACCGTCATCCGGACCGGGCGTCGTCCACCGATTGGGCCTCGGTCTTTTGTGAATCCGGCCGTCTAAGGTGTATTCCGGAGCTCAAGCACAGACGGCTGGGGCCGAAGTAGCAATATTCACACGGCCGGAGCCGGTCGCCGTCACTGGCTCGTGCGGCTGCCCTCCCGGCTGACTGTCTGAGTCTAGCTAGCCTGTGCCGCCGCCGCCGCCACTACCGTATCTGTTTACGATGTCCGGCGGGCCGCGTGCCGAGCCGGTGAGCTCAGCCGCGGGCCGGAGATGGACGACCTTCCACCGAGCCCGCCCGGCGCCCGTCTCACTGGGCTGGGCACACGGTAACCCGGGTCGTGGCCGAGCTTACGGAAGCTTGCATCTATGGCCTCGTGGACTTATTCGATGGTCAGTAGTCACTCCATTTTCAGCACAGATTGGCCAACACTGTCCTGTCGACACATTTAGCAATTGCAGTGAATTTCGGCTTGAAATTAACTGTGTTCTAATATTTTAAGGCAATGAACTTCACCTATACTTACTTCTCAACTCGCTGCTGCGTTTATCGTGTGAATTCTGAGCCCGTATTCATTCCCGGCCAGCCTGGCTCTTGACCATCCTGATGATTCTCTGACAGCGTGTATTTCACCTCGCACATGCCTATGCAGCACCCGCTTCCTGGTTTTTGCTCATCCCATTGTGATGTGCTCAGCCCGTGCGTTAGCGTTTTTCGGTCGGGATTGGCTGTGTAGAGTTTTTGCGAACTGGAGTAGGCTGTCAGCAGGGGGCTGTCTGTCAGTTTCAGGCAGCTGACCGCCGCGCCGCGCCACCCGCCCGTGTCGCCCGACATCTCGACTCGCAGGTGACACGACGCGATGCCATTTTGAACGATTCGATATTTTGCTGAGGCGCTAATGCTCCATTTGTCTTGGCCGACACATTTGGTGGATCACGTTAGTAACTGGTGATTGAGAAAAAGAACGACTGAGGCATCACCGTCTCAGAGGAGGTGAAAGGTGAACAAACTATCCATAAAGCACATCTAACGATGTAATGAAGATGAAGTATGTATGTGTTGAACCAGTATGTATGTTTTGAACCTCATTGGGGTTTGTTGCCACGGTTGTGAGGGGTTTGCCTGCTGAGTCACGTGGTGTCAGTGGGCGTTGGTCCGTCGTCGCCGCCACCCCCGCTCGCCGGTCCGCTGCGGCGGGGTGCGCGGCGGCACTTGTGCCGGTTGGCTGCCTACAATTGGTCTGATTGGTGGGAATTTCTCAGCCTGACGACACAGGAAGGACCTGCGGGCGCCGGCAGATGTGGTCCTGGCTCGACGGGCTGGTTGGCGCTCCGTACTATAGCTGGGGCTCATGATTAGTTAGGTATCTGTCTTTATTAGAAGTATTCATTTTACCCATGCTGCATCGGGGCAAGCATGCCGTTGGAATGAGTTGAGCGGGTTCACACTTATCCTCGGCAGTTGTCTGGAAACTTTGAATGAAACATTTTGTACTAAGCACTCCATATATCCCAGGACGTCACCGCTCCTCCCGATTTTGGTGAGCGTGCAGCGGTGCACGCACCACCGCTATTCACGGTGCGGTCGATGGCTGAACAGGGGTACCCGGTACAGCCTACGCCTGGACCGCCGCCGGCGGCCGAACCCCTCGATTGAGGTGCGTGCGCAGGCCCTGGTCGGTCGGCCGCACCCCGGGCAGTGTGGCGCCGTCCGACCGGCCGCCCAGCCGCCGAGGCCGTCCGTTTCCATCGGTGACAGTCCGTGACCGTCCGTGAGAGCTGGTGGCTCCTGATATGTGAATCCCGGAACGCTGGCTCGTGCCTTCAGTGTTCAAGTGCTGGAGATTCCGTGTGGTTTTGGCCACGGTTTGGTCGGTTCTGGTGTGATCTCTTTGCTGGCATTGCGGGTTCGACTGGACCCGTTACTGCTGACCAGTCGGTGCCTTCTACCTGACCTGTGACCCGTGACCTGTGACCCAACCTGCGTCGGTCACCGGATCGCCACCACGA